TGCTGTTAATTTTTTTTACCTTTTAAGGTGTTTATTCCTTTGACGTTTAGGATGCGCAAATACATGAGTAATAAAGGGATTGGGTTGGTTGTGTAAGCCATTGTGTTGGGTTGGCTTGGTTTGATTTTTACAATGGAACCGGTATGATTTTTATGTGTTAGCCTCAATATTTTTAACCAACCCAAACAAGTTGTACTCAAACGTTTATGCATGTCACCCACTCACCAAATATTATTCATTCCACTACACTAAGGCCTAAATAAACATATGCCCACTATTTTATTCTTCAAGCGGATGTTCACACCAAAATCTAGGTTGCAAACTAAGTTATAACTAACCAATCAACCAGGGATTGACCTCAGTTATTCTTTTCTCCCGGTTGCTGCTCCACCCATAACTTTGTGTCAGGTAAATTTCCCAAGCTGTGTGTTATTGGAGTTCCTCATTATTTTGTTTTTAGTCTTTTCTTTGTTTATAACATATTTTTTGTGAATTTTTGTGTAGTGCACATTATTGCTGCCTTTGGAATTTGAGACACAAGCAAACAATCCAACCAACGCAATCGGGAAAGATAAATCATCCGTTGTGGAAATGAATTACAAGGTAAGAAAATTTCATTTGATTTTCCCGTATTACATTTCGTACATCCTTTTAGCCAATTACTAGATACGCACATTATTAAGTAGCTTCAGCTACTTTATGTGAAGACTTTGTCTGTCTGTCTGTCTGTCTGTCCGTCTGTCAGCAGGATAACGGGAGAACGGATAAAGATAATCGAAATCGGTTTTCGCCATCATACATAAGACCCCAGGGGGAGGATCCTATCAACTTTTGGGTGCAACCGGACCACACCCCCTGGCGCCAGGGGGTGTGGTCGGGGCAAAATGAGATTTTTAGTGCAATCGAATCTATGGATGAACTAGAGTGAAATTTTGTGTATCCCTTATGTGCCACACCCCCCGGGCGCCAGGGGGTGTGGTCGGGGCAAAATGAGATTTTTAGTGCAATTGATTCTATGGATGAACTGGAGTGAAATTTTGTGTATCCCTGATGTGCCACACCCCCCGGGCGTCAGGGGGTGTGGTCGGGGCTAAATTAGATTTTTACAAAAATTGAATCTATAGCTGAAATAGAGTGAAATTAAGTGTTCCCGAGTTGTACCACACCCCCTGTGCGCCAGGGGGTGTTGTTGGGGCAAAATGAGATTTTCAGTGAAATTAAAAAACATGGATGAAATACACTGAAATTAAGTGTTCCCCCGCTGTCGTAGGGGTGGAGTGAATCTGAAGCTACTTCCGTATGCGCGTTTGCGACGGTTTATTTTACTTACATTTTATTATCTTTGGTTTTTAAAAAGATTTCCATACCGTTAGTCCATGTTTCTTCAAATGCTGATGGAATGCACAAAACCAGTCCATTTCTGGTATTTTGCCTGAAGTGTAGTTACTATGTTAATCGAGCTAAATCCGATTTCTGGATGGGGTTGATGGATAGGGTCTCTAAAACGGGCGATGGTGAAAGTGTTTCGTATTTTCCCGACTATCATTGAAGTTATTCTTTGTTTACTGCAAACAGGTTTAACACAACCCGTTCGAGAATTGCTTGAAAGGTTACAGACTCTAATGACAACCCCGGACTACCTCACTGGGATGGCATTTTTATTGGATGTTTTCTCCACGATGGAAGAGTTTTCGCTTATATCTCAACAAAATGGTGTGCTTCTAATCGACATAGCTGATCTTAGATCCAACGTACTTCGAACCATTCAAGGGTTCATCAACCGACCTGGGATTTTCCTTCAAATAACTTTGGAATTTGATCGAATAAGTCTGGAGGAATTTGAGAACAGTGGTCGACAATATGGAACCGTGGATTTGTCACAGAATAGAGCATCCCCACATGAAACTAAAATCTCTGTCCTTCGACCTCTCTACATTAAGGCATTTGTTGAGGTTTGTATGATTTTTATTCACAACGTACTTAGATAAACTTTGTAAAACCAATTAGACTATAATTGTACTTTCAATTCTTGATACCTAGAGAATGGAGAAGTGCTTTCCGGCCCTTGAGACAGAACGATTCAGATTGTTTAGTCCTCGTAATTTCCTTATTCCTGGTGATGTTGCCCAACAACATAGGCATTTGACACAAGGGATTGGGTTGGCGTTATATCCTTACGGTTACGCACAAGATGAAGTGAAAGAAATTAGTAGTCAGCTTGGATGGATGACCTTGACAGGCCGAAATGAGCTAGGTAGAGAATGGAGTAACCTTGTTCATCACATCGTTGTGAAGCCAGAATTTATTAACTGGAGGAGAAAACGGCCAAGCGAGTTCTGGATGGACGTTATGAATGATGACAGCCTACCATGGAAAACCCACACTCGACGATTTATTATTTTGTGCTTGCTTGCTATTCCAGCATCTTCTGCTGAAATAGAAAGGTAGTTGATGCGAATTGGTTTTAATTAGAGCCACAAAAATTTGTATACTGTTTTGCAGATCCTTTTCGGATATAATTTTTAACCTAGGAGACTTCCCAACATCAATTGCGTCAGAGACCCTGAATCACCTCCTCCGAATTCGCCGTACGATGCCACAGGACGTGACATCATATAATTTTAGACACCATGTTCTGTCAAGAATGAGGGCTGCCGGGTAGACGACACAACTTGTGGTTATTATTCAAGCGAGAAATTAGAATTTGTAGAAGGAGACGAGGAAAGCCAGGTGTTTGTAGAAGGGGAGATTTTTGATCATGAGATTGTGGAGGCAATGATAGTTAATGATGTTGATAATGATGCCCCAAACAACATGGATATATAAGAATGTTTTAGAATGCCACGGTTTTTCGTCTAATATGAATATTTTATTTTCGTCGAACATTTTCAAAAAATTTTGATTTTTAGCCATTACAAAAGCATTTGTAATAAGTTAAAAAAAATCCTACAATTATAATAAATAATGACACCCATACTGCTTTTGTACCCATTTTTGTTCTAAGTTTGTTCCAGGTTTGAAGACTGAGGCAGTGTCGGACGTGTTAGAAAGCTCAAGCAAAAAATATATGGTTTGTGGGGTAAATTGCCTTTTTTTGGAAATTTTCAAATCACCATTAAAGGTCAAAAAATTCACCGCGTACCAAAAAAATTTTTTTTTGAAGTCGTCAGGTCAGTAGCTTTCCAAAAATATAAGGTTTCTGGGGTTAAACAGCAAACGAGCTTTTGACCTTTGACCTCAATTTCCGGTCAAACTAGGTCACTTAGAGAGGTGTTGTAATGACTAGTTATGTTCACTGGATCAAGGTCATCAACATAAAAAAAATTGAAATTACAAAAAAAATATGACGTCCGTTGCGTAATCCCCTTTTGGACCTAAGAGCATCGAGGCTTGCAACAGCCTGGATAGTTGCCTTCCGCGTTATCTTAGTATTTCCCTGAACTGTAAACTTACAATTAGTTACAACGCGGGAAGGACGCTCGAGCCGAGATTTTCAGGACATTGGACAATTTAATAGTGCTAATTGTTATGACGTAAACAGCATCAAATGTAGTGGTATCCGAAGTAATATTCACTGCAGATATAAAGAAGAAACAGATGAGAAGAATTATGCGTGATGGCAAGAAGAATCCCGCAGTTTACCTATTTCTCCAACCCAAGTTTAAGCTTATTCAGAAAAATTGGTTTGATAAAAACATTGTTATTCATACGTAGTAATTGATGAATATGTATGGTGAGGTGAACAAATAGTATTAGGCTTACCGTGGCTCTGATTGCGTGGACAAATTTTTGGAGTAAATGAAACCACTAAAATATTCCTTTTCTTTATAATTTTGTTCATCAAGATGAACTTTTGGTAGATTATAAAGACTTCCAGAATTGGGGGACTTTAGTAAATTTGAACAGAGTTATTTCTGTGTGACAATACCTTTGCCATTAACCAGGGCACCATCAACGCCGAGTATATCAGGATACTTGGATCAGTTTCCCAACTCCAAAATTGGCAAGAATACGCAAACCTTCAAATACGGACTGGGCTTGTAATTTCGGCCGATGTATGGGTCGCAAATTTTTCTTTCTTCCTGAATTTGAGCTCACTTTATCGCTATCAGTAGTTTTGCATTCAAATCTGCCCAATAAAAACCCAGCCACAGAGGTTAAATTCCTCAAATTCGAAGTGTGTGCGGTTTACGATCCGGAAATAAAAATTTCCATGATTTGAACAAATTCTTCTTCACGCTTAAGAATTGCTTGTTACCTAAGTATCGTAAAACAGATTGGCCTCTGTCTCATTTCCTCCTTTCGGACAGACTTCCTAAGTAATTAATTAACAGATTTTTGTACGTAAACTAATTAACCTTCTATTTTTCAAACGAGCATATATTCCGTGCCTATTTTCCTATATGTTCTTTTCCGAGTATGGTCCTCAGATTACAGTACGAATTTGCTAGCGATTGCCTTATTACTTTCTCAAGTTTTAACTCCGTGCAATAGAAATGTTTATTTTGAATTTCCTTCATATTTTGTCTGGGTTTTTTTGTCAAGGAGACACTAGGTCAGTTTCAACTGCACTTTTTGAATTTTGCATTACACATGTTTACCTTATACATGCCTGTTTATATGGACCTTCCAACCTGTCACAATGAACCGACCCATTACTAAATACACTGTATTACTGATGGAGTATTCCTAAATAAAACGTTGCAACGTTGTTACGTATACCTCATTGGCACCAATGATTTTCACCATTTTGTTACCCAGCGTTCATTACCGAGACGTAAAATAAGGTGGATCAAGACATACATTTAGGATCTCGTTTCGAACGAAAATAATTATTTTGACATGATCCGTTACCTTTGGGTCAAAGGTCAAATTTATTTTTCGATGTGCTAAAAAAAGATTTCCAACCATAATGTTCCTGTAAATAAAAGGAAAAAGACAGCGTTGGCTAAGAACCGAGCTCGAAATAGAATAAAATCCTGCGTGTAAATACTAATAAATAATATGGTATTGTGCATTTATTTTTAAATAAACCATCAATTTTTCCAAACACAAACAAAAATTTGTTGTGCCTATTTTAGTACACGTTTGCTTTAAAAACTATAAATATCATCTTCTCGGATTATATTTTCATACTTCACAAATCCATTTTGTAACAAGACTGATTTACAATATCTTCCACAATCTTCCACAACAATCCTGAAATATTTTTGTCCTCGTACCACGCTAATGATTTTCAAGTTTTCAATACTTTTTTTAGGTGATTTTTTTTGACAATACCTTTGTCATTGTTGTGACAACCATGTATTGTAACTTCTGAAAATTAGCGAGTTTCGAAAAAGTGTCTTTCGTAATGCCCCCGGTTTGCAAGACTAGGGGAACTAATAGGCAATCTCATTTGGAACTGATTGTCGCAATTGAGCAGCATTTGTTTCCCGAACATTCCTCAAAATAATTCCAAATAAAAGGTCTATCTTGTTGAATATTGGCGTTTAAAATTATCATAAAAACAAGGTTAGCCTAGCAGTTCGAGATGAATTTGTGTTAAGTTTATAATGATTCTGATGTGAAATAAGTTCCTTGTTGTGAACCAGAATTAAAAAGAAATAGACAAAAGGTTGAGTTGAGCCATGTATAATGTAGGCTGTAATGAGTTATATTTTTTCAATTTTAGTAATCCAAAATAAGGATGTAGGAAAAAATATTAAGCTCAAGAATGTCACAAGTTTTAAACTATTACTTAATTTTCTACCAAATATTATTGATATTATTACAATAATTTAATTATACTCACAATGGTGGTCTCCAAGCGTATGCTCGTAGATTTGGACGAAACTAGCGTCAATCGATCACAAATGTATGAAATTAAGTATGAAATTTGCAAATGGAACTATCTCCCAATGGGTAGGTTTGTCGAAGATATTTGCATCCAACGCGGGAAAAATGCCCAGCAAATTTGGAAAATACAAAATTTGCCAGCCTTAGGGCGCGTTTTCCTCTCTTCTAAATGCAAATATCTTGGCAAACCATGCGCATTGGTAGCTAGTTTCATTTGCAAATTTCATACTAATTATATTTGTGATCGATTGACACTAGTTTCGTCCAAATCTACGAGCATACGCTGGGAGACCTCCATTGTGAGTACAAATTAGATCAATTAATTAGAGGAAAGAGAGTAAATACTTAAAAGACAAACTTTGCACAGATTTTAATCGAGAACATAATGATTACTATTATTAAAAAATTTAGGGAAGAGAACACATTTTGCTATCACATTCATATCAAACAAACGGAACTTTATCCTTTCAAGAGCAAATATCTAAACGTATTTAAATGTGCAATTTGCAATGTGGCATGCTCAAAGCCACAATACGGAAAAAGTTTCGAGCTCAATATGTAGCCAGTAAAATTAAAACTAAATGTCATCATAATGATGCAAAAAAATTAGTTAAATATCCACAACTGTTTGGAAAAGAGGCTCAATGTATCTATTACACTCTCCAAAACTATCGCTCCAGCAAAAATATTTAAATTTAATAAATATGTATACAAGTTTAACTAATATTACTGCCATTATCCAATTAGATTCAACCCATTACATTCGTGTTGGACCTTCCAAACTTACAGAACTTCCCGTGTGATATGTGTATCTCCGTTCTTTATTACGGAAAGGTTTACTTTTAAGTAAAACTTTAATTGACATCGTCTCCGCATATCAAACCATACATTTGTCGCCCATGGTTTAAATCTCATTTAGAAATTATTCGCCATTATAAGACATTGGAATGGCTCTCTGGTTGACGTACAACTTCCAAAATTAATTTCCATGATTTTAATTTTTTAATAAAATATTGTCATTGTCAACATTTGAATGTTTGATCAAATGTTTGATCAAATAATAGAAAACAACTTTAACCTACGTAGGAAATACTTTCGTTGTCTGCCCCATCGGCACTTTCTGGTAATCCAAGAGAACCCTAACACACGATCAATTAGAAGCAAGGGGGTTACTCTTCCTCACACTGAGGGATAATTTATAATTCTAAACTACAGAGGTTGAGTTATGAGGTATTAAGCCAAGTGTGGGGGGATGTAACAAGTTGTGGTGGGGGCAGTAAAATATTGTCCAGGGACGAAGTGGATACTGCAGACATGCAGCTGCCCAGGGACTTTAAGTGGGCATTGTGAGACACCGGTGCTTATTCTCATCAAGGGTAGCGACAATTACATAGTGTCGGAAATTAATGATTGTGTTGAGGCGAAACAGACTTGAACTATAGTGTCCCCAGTTTTCACTCCTTAATTACCTGCAAGTTAAAGGAAATATGTCACACATCTGTCATCACCGTCCTGTGGAGGAAAATGCTCGTCGGTTTTACAAAATTCTAGTAAGTCAACCTCCAAATTACGGACAGAGTGAAATTAACTTTGTTGAAGATAAGCTCCAGTTCTTTTTGGATATTCTAAAATTAATGTGGTTCGACGAGAAACCAGTGGTTTGCAGAGTGCTTACTTTGTTGCCAGCTACATATATGTGGCAATTACGTCACTACGCATTAGGGCATCCACAGTTTAGTGATTAATTTTGCTACCTTTTCAGAGCAATTAAAATTAATGACCAGTTTCCACTCGTTAAAAGTGACTTTAACTTTTTCACGTGATAATTGGTATACTATCAATCTCGATGACCAGTGACTGAAGCAAAGGATACACATTTGTGCAGTGCGTTTCAAGAAAAAGCAAAACGGTGGCAATGAATCCTGACGAGAATGAATCCGCCAACAATTTAGAAATTTACAACCGAGGGATGATGAAATGATAGAAAATTTCTTGAGAAGGGCAGCATTATCTTTTCACGGCAGCAAAAGTTATGATCCTTTAAGTTGCATCACAGAGGAGGAAGCACCCCGGGCATAGACTTTCAGGACATTAGACAATATGCTACTCATTGTTAGGACCTCAACAGAATTAAATGTAGTGGTATCCAAAGTGATATTCATATATGGTGCAGACCTACCGCATACCCCAGGTTAGTTTGCATAACTGCTTATTTTTCAGAAATAGGGTAACCTTAATGTCGATGCTATACACGACCGAATAATTTGAGATACCCAGACCCCGACCCTCCCGACCCGATATGTTAGTAAGCCCGTAAACCGAACGATTTGGGAGAATACGAGAGCCCTCAACATCGATAAAGCTCGGACTTTTCGTCGAGAAGACCGAAATGGTCCTTGTTTTTGAGTGTTTAGAATTTGGACATTTCGCTCGCAATTGTCCCATTTTCCGTGAACGATTGAATCGCGCTGATCTTGCTCTTGCTGCGCGAGTTCCAGAAAACTGAACGAGCTTGCAGTCGATAACTAGGCGATCGTAAGCGAATGTCACCTAAGTAGCCTCGGCTAATACATATAATCTGTTTAGTTCAACTCCTACTCTTGTGTATGTAGACCTTCTAATTGAAAAGGATATATTCACTGGTAAACCAGGCCCAGTAACCTAACCTAACTTGAATTTTCTTGAAGTCAGTCTCTATTTTGTTTGAAATAAATCTACATTTCCTTTGTCGTTTTCCTCCAAATTTCACTAACGTGATTCAGTTATTATTCATACTCCGAATTCTCATAAGTCCGGCTACAATGCAACATATGAGCAACATCTTAAGTTGGACAGTTCTTAGATTTAAATTAATTGGACAGTTTTTAATTTTTAATCGTTTAGATTTCCTTCTTCCAGATAATAGGTTACCTATTTATCTGTTTAATCTGCACATGAAATCATATCCATGATTTTATCATTCCCTTGACCTTATTCAACGCATTAAGCTTACGGGTCACTCATTTATGTATGTATAAGTAAATGTTTTGTACATGTCATGTCATGTATGTCTCATGTAAAGTATCCAACCTTTATACCAATAGTTGACTTAATAAGTTCATTAAGGGTTCTTGGCAACATTTCACTTATATTTTAAATATATTTATGTTAATTATTGTAGATAATTAGATGTGCAGAAGTCTTAAACCTAAGCGAACTACTAGAAACCGTTGCAAGTCGAATTATTTCAATTTCTAATTTTAAGCTACAATATTTTGAGGTGTCTTAACAGATTTGAAGTCTAGTTTTAAATACATATGCCTTTGCGTACCGTTTTGTTACAAATTATTATTAATTTTGTTCTGCCAAATTCAACAATTTCAACAATTATGCAATAAGTCGTGGGAACATATAGAATTTTAGGATCATGATCCAATTATTGGACGTATGTTAAGAAGCGGAATCTTCATTTGTGAAGAATATCGCTCATGGCATTTTTTTTACCACACACTTAAAAAGAATGTTACCCTTTCGAGAAATAAATGCACTCTGAAGTTAAAATAGGCATCTCAAGAGTAACTTGACGCTTGATTAAGCCAGCGTAACGTTAGATTTAGTATAGTTTTCTACATAAATATAAAATTCTGCGTGAATTTACTTATCCAGATAGCAACATTGTTTTTAATAGTGTGTCGAACATTGAGTAGGGTTAGCTATGGTATAATATGTAGTCCATAATTCTACGAATATTTGGGCCTAATGGCTGCATTTACATGTGCATGGGCACACATTATTGCGAAGGATTATTATTGGAAAATATGTAGCTTAACTAATTAACAGGAACAAGATCACGCTTTTCGTCGTATCCATTTTTGACAGTTTTGACAGGATTGTATTTCTGGGGATGCCTCTCAGAAATGTCCTGGGTGATAATTTGGGTAGGATTTCTAGAATGCAAATTTTTTATTAATTATGTACTAATTAGTTAAATATACTAAACCATATTTCATAAAATGACGAAAGAAATCTGGACAAATATAAATTTGTAAAATTTAAAAGGTTGAGAAACGCATTTGTCCACTGGTTTGACACATTTTAGACCACATAAATGTTTAAAAAGTTATAAACAATTGTTGTGTCATCTTTTGTCTTTTCAGCTTGTATAGATTTAGGCAATTTTGTTTAGAGTTTAAATATATGCATAAGTAGCTTACGAAAATTTGCTGAGCTTCGTGGATGGGCTGAATTCGAGTGAAAATATGCATCCGAGAAAGATAATCCATGCCATGCAGACCTGGAAATATGCAGAAACGACGAAAATGATACAAATCTGAAGGTTATGGTTAAGTTAATTTTTAATTGCATACATATAACTTTTAATTGGTTCTTAAGTTGATCTATATGAAAGTTGGGATAGGCGTCCTTCTCCGGTGTTTAATTTCTGCACGTGTAAACCATGTACATATGTGTGTAGATTTTGGTATCCCTAAAAATATGCAAACACAAGTTTTAAAAAATCCCTGGTTAATTTATGTATGTTTTAGCACTAAAAAAATCTATATACCTGTTTCAATATCAGCAATGTATGCAAATGCATTAGGAAAACGTTGGCAATTTCCACTGGTAACAATTATATAAGACGCAATATTAAACCACCACAACAACAATATGTCTTTACAAAAACGAAAGCTGAAGTTTTCGTATGTCAAATTTTAGCGAAATTAATCCTCACTTGTCGCCTTGTATCTAAAATCGGCAATATTTACTGCAACGAAATCAATAATGGGATCACATTTTTAAAACTTCGTATAATTTATAGTCTTAAAAAACAACAACCTGTTGGCAATTATCTGTATGAATGAATGAAACGTGTACCAAGGTAATCCTGCTCAATGGGGGTACAGTCTACAGAAAAATATTTCGTCCAATTAATAAAATCCTTATCAAGCGAGACGGTACACAAAGGATGTGCAAAATTTTGAGAAAATTTATACTTCAATACGTGAGGCATATTTTATGTGAGCTATTTATGGTGGGATTGATATGATTTTTTGCAGACGTGAATAAATTCTCTATGCACGACCACTCAGACTTGTTAATGCCGTCTTTGCAGTGTATAGCGGATTAATTTTCACCCTTCAAGGTGAGCGAGTGCTTCATTCAGTAAAATTTTGTAGGAATACGCTTCTCGATATTAAGATATGTACATATGAAGCTATTAATGTGCATTAAAAAAATCCGTTAATCACATTAAAGAGGGTTGATAAAATTCGTCCCGAATTCTCCTGCACTCTTAGAAAAAATTTTACTTTTTTGAAAAGTAAGTGCACTTTTTACTCCATATGAAGTAAGATTTACTCTGTATCAAGTAAGCGTTACTCTGGATTTAGTAAATTTTGCTTCATATGGAGTAAAAAGTGCACTTACTTTTCAAAAAAGTAAAATTATTTCTAAGAGTGTGTCGGTATTTTAAAACTTACCATGTTTGAACACGTGTCATCTCAAAAACGGTGCAAACTTGCAAGGCAATTTTTTATTGCAATCAGAGATCAGGCAATTAGAGATGAAATGATAATTAGCCTTCGGTAATTTCTTTTATTCATGCCCGTCACCCTTTACTCTTGACTCTGTGCAAATGTCGGTAAATTTGTGTCGAGACCAATAAAATCAGCAATTATCATATGCATAACTCACTACCTCAGACACTTACCGGTAAACGAACATATGTAAGTATGGATGTAAAAATCACCGGCATCCGAAAAAAGAGATAGGGTAAGTTACAGGTTAAATATCTGCTTGGCAGCTCCAATCCGAAGAAAAGTGAGATGCGAGGAAACCTTTGACCTGAAAAGAGCTTTTTTGCTTAAGATTCAGCAAATGTAACGAAATAGGTACTTAACTGATCGAGTGCACATTTTAGATAAGTAGATATATATACATATACAATGAGAGTGTTTTTACGGCTTCCAACGATGGGCAAGTTTGATAGCTGAAAATACGCGAAAAGTTGTGAACACAAAGAATCTGAAATAATGTACGGGGGGTCCGTGCATGGTCCGTTTTCGCGATACCGTATCGCGAAAACGGACCATGCTCGTATCGCCGATACGAGCCAGAACGTGCGAATTTTTTGCAAATATTGAGTTTAGTCTTAAACTCTTTTTAATGTTACTAGAAATAATTTCAAATGCTATTTTGGACCAGAATTTCGCACACATTTGATTTCTCACACAAATTTTCTAATGTGTTGAATTTTTGCAAAATAATTGCAATTTGTTCATTAGTTTTCAACGAACGAATTACGGACTTTTGGTATGCAATTTGGGCGACCTATTAGTTTTAAGGATAGGGTGAATGCGCAGGGAAAAATTCGTTACGTACATATGTGTGTATTCCGAATTTTGTCAACAACGAGAAAGTTTACTAATTACGCGTCGACTTCTTTCACTAGCGGTAAAATGATTGACAGCACATTGACACAATAAGAATAATTGGCACAATAATTTATTTTTCAGTACCCATGTGTAATGATATGATTAAGTATGAATTTACACATACATGCAATTACTTACACATACTGCAAATTTATCTTTAAAACATTAATGAATTTTACAAAGTTCCCACATTCTGCTTGAATTGCCACAATATTGAGGACATCAAAAGTAATTTTTTACCTTGTTAAGTTGAATGAATCCATGGAAATATGTTTAATTCAAGTAATTTCTACATATGTAGGTATGTTTAAATATAATTAATTTCTTAACTGGGTTTACTAAATCTAATTATGTTTGACTGAAGGATGTACATAACATTTGTGTTTGCATGTTCAGTAAATGAGCCGGACAACGACTCGTGCTTCATTTACGAGGTTTCACGTCAAATTTTGTATGTTCCCATAAACTTTACACACAAACTTGTTGATAAATAGGTAGGATTGAAAATATTAATACCAGGGCAGTAATACAACGGCCATACGTGGGCGGCCGACTATTATGAATGAAATGGTTCAATACACGGGAACTTAGCGACTATGTATACTGACTAAAGTCCCCATTTGACGTCAGATTATGCATGAAACTTAAACTATCTATCCGGTTTCATTCCTGGATACATGTTTAAACCTATTTAATTGTGTAATATGATGAGACAGCGCTGCTTCTAGGATGAAATATTGATCGTCCTTCAAGGCAAGATTATAGTCGCATTATTAGTCTCCAATTAAATGTTCGAAACTTATACCATGTTTCGAATATGTATATATTTGCTAGTACATTAACGCTACTGTACAGGTGAATTTCATCGGAATTAAAAAACTGATTGAAGTATGTATGAAGGACTCGAGACTCTTATTCGTCTTTTTAGTTAAAAACAAGGATATTTAACCCCATGGGGAATGAATTGAGCAAGGCGTCTCGCAATGCGACTTGTACAATGGTTCGGGTATGCAAGTTTATGGTTGAGCCACATTCGGATCCTAATTCCGGCACAATTGTTGCAAATTTTACTCGATATGTGTTGATATGGTACTAATTGGTTAGGTATTGATGCACTGCTTTCAACAAACTCCCAGATATATTTGAGCGCCAATTTTCGTGAAGAATAAGATAAATACGCAAGAGATAGGGCGTGAAAATTGACGAATAAGAGGCTGTTTGACTGATTAAGAAATGCATGTACCGTTATGAAGTCTAAATATGCCGAACTCGTTTAGAGATGGCTGGACAAAATGTCGTAGTTCTCTATCTGTCACGTAGCACGTAGACAATTCTTGTAAATATACAGATTTAATATTTTCTTGATAAATCTATGAAGTAATCCCAACCCTGGCAAACATTACCAATGCCAGATAGGATGGCAGGAAGTTTCTTATCTAAGAGGACCACGTCGCGTGGAAGGAAGGGATGGTAGACCAGGTAAAGACCTGACTAACAATGAGGAGGTGTAAGGTGGTTATCGCCGATAACCACTGGACTAATTTCAAATTGTCCAGGACCAGAAATAAGTGGACCCGTATTTTTTCGTTTTATTGAATGGGCGTGTTTTTGCCATTGGCGGAATTTTCAAAAAAAATTTCAGCCAAAATCAGGATTTTTAAAAATGCTGTAACTTTTCGAATTTTGACCCGATTTCAAATATTAAACCCAATTTGTGTTCAGAATTACATCCCTGAAAATATAAAAATTCATTTTTAAAATGTTAAAAAAGTTGATATTTTCATGCCATTTCTGAATTTGTAGAAACCCAAAAAACGTTAATTTTATCAAATTAAAAGTTTTTAAAAAATGAATTTTTATATTTTCAGGGATGTAATTCTGAACACTAATTGGATTTAATTTTTGAAATCGGGTCAAAATTCGAAAAGTTACAGCATTTTTAAAAATCCTGATTTTGGCTGAAAATTTTTTTTAAATTCCGCCAAGGGCGAAAACATGCCCATTCAGGAAAACGAAGAAATACGGGGTCCACTTATTTCTGGTCCTGAACAATTTAAAATTAGTCCGGTGGTTATCGGCGATAACCACCTCACACCTCTCCATTGTAAGTAGATTCTGAGATCCTGAAAGAGAGTGCATGAAACTTATTGATGCTGTTCAGCTTCAAACTGGTACATACACAGGTGGTGTAGACATATATAGTGCCGCTATAATGTCGGTGTATATAAAATCCTCCAATAAACATTCCCCCATTAGTAAGGGAGTTCTGTTTCTTCCCGTAAGTTCCGCAAATAATATTTTAGACCAATAATTGGCAAAATATAATTTATAATATGTATGCATAGAGACACCACGATAGGTGTTACCGTCGTGGTAAAGTATAAAACCGATAGGGTCGGTTATGGTCCTCTGGCGTTTGCCATCGTCGTAAGCGTACCTTACAATTACATACATAGGTGAGATGCATATGTCGCATTAAGCTGTGTCTGTAGACATAAGCTAATAATAATGTTGATCTATAGCTCAAACTGATTCGCGATAAGGTACCTATACCAGGACCAACCTGTCAGGAATTGTATTTATCAGGAAGTATTTTATGACAGTGATTGGACATTCGGGACCCCACGGGATGACCGGTCACATCGTTATGCAGGTGGAGCCCAGTAGTAACTTTGGACGCGAACTACGTAATATCTGTTACTATGTCGGACAGCGAGCGTGCAGTTGTCCGCATTGACATTTAACGGGTAATCGAGGATAGCTTTCGAGGTATGTTCGAATTACAAATCCGAAACAATACCCTCGGGTATACTAATAAAATATAACATTTTGCTACTTTTACTTACATTCTGTTTAAAGCAATAGTGGAATATTGTAGTAAGACGTAGGTGTTATGCATTTATGCATAATTGTTATACAAACACAAACCATTTCGTAATCCCTTGTAGTAACGGTGTAACATGTAAGTAGACGATCGGGATATACCTGCACCACATCATATACGCAATATTTGCGTGGATTCCGAGCCGAGATACCCAAACTGAACTGACTAACGTTATCATTGCTCGTTGTGTTCATTCTAAAGTCAAACAACACTTACTGACTGTAATAGAAGTGTTTTTGTCATGTAATAGCTCTAAATTGGTTATCCATACTGGCATGGGAAAATGGCTACAGTGTGGGCGTTACATCCCACTCTTTTTTAAAAATAATTTTTGCACATACTTTTACACGATTTAGTACTAATACAATTTGGACTAACAACTGTTAGGATTATACCTTAGGATTATCTACGAACTTAATGTTTACATATTCAACTCTTCTAACAGACCAAACTTTTATCGTGTGGAATGCGGAGGATGCCTATTTTCCTAGGGCAAGTTGCATGGATGTAGGGACGATTACTCCTGTAAGTGACTCTTAATATTATTTTTACTTATTACATTTAAATTGATTAATATTTAAATACTAACTTATCTACCTATCGGCATTAATACTCATTATTATTATTTTTTAATTGCAATAACGTCAAAAGTGTCGCCCTCACGTCAGGTAATTCGATCATTGTGTTGTTGTCGGGGCAACAAGTCTGGGCTTCCTTAATGCTTGACACAATGGCTACTGCCTTACGGTTGCATATTAAAATCGGGTGTGATCTTAAATCCACTGCTAAGAGAATAAAACTTATGAGAGATTACGATTTTGCGAAGGATAACAAGGATAAAAATGCGACATTCTGTCGTCCCTGTAAACTGGATTTCAATCGAAAAAAAAGCGATCAATTACGCCATTTTGAACAAGAACATGAACGAGTAGTTGTAAAAACTGAATTAAAATATTTGTGCCACATTTGTAACCAATTCAGTGCAACCATACATTGTTTTAACCAACACAGTTGTGCTGATATGAAAATCCTAACAGCGGACGCCCGGGATAAAATATTGATGGACTTTTCCTACACGATTTTCCTCAGCGATGAATGTGATCGTAAAATAGTTAACGCAATATCTCAAGATTTAGATATACCCCTACGGGGTGACAATACGGATAATTCTGATGATAAAACTGACAATTCCGATAACAGTGCTTAATCATTATATACAGAAAAGTGCAGAAAAAAAAGTGCAGCGTTCGCAATAATAATGATAAGGTGCGTTGACTGGCGTACATATTTTTCTATATTCACTGAAAACATATATATAGTTACTTGACACGTGCTGACGTGAACAATAGGCAAAATGTGCAGCGTGTGCGAATTTCTTGTAGTTATCAATTTATAAGATAAGGATAAATGCAAAGTAAGTACTTTTTGAAAATCACTTCTCATAACTACGTAAAAGAATCACATAAAAGTAGCTGCATACTTCATCCTTTCGTTACATTTGTCCACACTTTCCAGTTACAAACATCCTAATAATAACAACTATTAACCACAATGACATTACATCTTCGAAACTTGGTGCTGCTCTTCCTGACCATAATGTGGTACGTACTATTAATATAATAAATATATCATCCTAAGTATTTTAATTGCTATTTCTATACATTTTACAGGAGTTGTGCAGGGCATAAGCACCACCACGCCACCTTAGGTGTGGGTGAGATGATACAATGCTCGAATTGTATCGAGAGAAGTTAGCTTTTATAATTATTTTACTCTAAATACTCTTATTGCTATAATTAATTATTTTTG